GGGTTCGTCTGCTCAGGGACGGCTGCAGCGCGACGTCTGCATCCGAGCGCATCGCCCCGGCTCGAGGGTGCAGGTCACCTCCTTCCGAAGCAGACGCTCGCGCTTGGCGGCGGGGTCACGCCGTGTGCCAGGGGAGCTACGCCAGCTCGGGCAGGCACCCGCCACGCAGGCCCGTACCGCCAGGCGAGGGGAAGCCTCCTCTCCCTTGCAAAGCACCGAGCGGATCAAACCCCTCCTAGTAGCTGAGCAAGGTGGCCTCTTAAAGAAGGGCTGAAGAAAGAATTGGCAAAGCAAGGGCAATTAAAGGTAGAAATCAGACACTATCTTTGGAATACATTCTGAAAGAGCTTTTTTGTTTTTAAACCAGATTTTTTTGTAAATCTCTGGATCCGATCCTTTGGGGCTTGCTACCCACCCTTCTAATAAATATCATTTACCACCAACAATAAAGTCTCCCACATTAAAAAGCTCTCACTAAATAAAAACCTTCTACTGAAAATGCTTGGCTGAGTTAGCTTGGCAAAAATAAGGAGCTATGACTACTCTCCATAAATACATCAGCGGATAAACACCAAAAACTATTTAAGTTAAAGGACAATGTTGGCTCCAAAACAAACCAGGAATGAACCAGCCACGAATTAATTCAAACTAGAAATTTAAATAAAGTTTCTAAACATTCAAAGGCAGTGAAGTTCTGGAATAGCCTTCCAGGAGCAAAAGTGAAGGCAAGACATGGAACCAATTTTGAGCTGGGATTCGATTAGTTTGTGACAGAATGGTCTGACACAGCATTTGGCTGGACTATCCAGCTCAAGAGTTTCCCTTCTATAACTTGTTTTCTATTAGAAAAGAATATTAAAAAAATCTTCAAGCGGTTGCATCACACAGCAACAACCCAAGACAACATGGGTGTGTTAAAAATGTACAGGTACCAGAAAGCAGAAAGGTTAACTGGGAAATTTATTTTGCTGTTTCGCCAGAACTATTCCAGATGAACTGGGAGGGAGGAAAAAAAAAGGGAAAAAAAAGATAAAAAAAAAAAAGACTGGAGCAAACACTTGAAGTTATCAGCACTGCTGCAGGAGGATCTGTCATTAGGGCTGCAAGAGGGAAACCTCCCGACTGCAGCAGAGCTGCTGCCTCGTTGATCCCTTGGAGACAACAATGACTTGAAACGCTCCCAGCAACGCTGCGTCTTCTCTGCGTTTGTTCTCTGAAGAACAGCTTGTTCTCTCTGAACAATGAAAAGGATTCCAGGTCAGGATGGAAAAATTATTATGGGCTAGTTCTCAGTGATTAAAGGGAGACTTGGAGATTTAACAGCCTGCTACAGTCGGTCTCCAGGAGCACAAGGGAAAATATTCTAGCCAGCAAGGGAAAACGGCACCAAACTCCATCTCCTGGGTTGTCTGGGTCTGGGAACCTGCTACTTATTGGAGAGTATGCAAAGCTAAATCTAACCTCACCCGTAGGGATGAAAATCTCACTCAACTCCCACTGGACTTCAATGCAAAACTGGCAGCTTTCTTCTCAGATACCACTGCTTTCCTAACACACGCTTGCGTGCCTGCAAAGCCCGTCATGGCCAGGGCTCAAGGACCAGAAAGGGTGCAGAGAATATATGCAGCCATGCCAGCCTTTAGAGAACAAACACCTTAACGGACAGATGAAAAAAAAAAAAAAAACCAAAGGAAAAAGTACTGTGCCATGATAGTCCATATCTAAGCAATGACCTTGTTTACACAATGTCTGAGATTCATTACGCTTGTATAGGCAGCTGTAGGCATCGGTATATGAATATGAAAACTGAAAGTCTGTCCACTGGAAAGCAAACAAGAGCATCCTATTTCCTGGGTGCGAGCTGAGCCCTCGCCTCCGCCAGCTCTCAGCCATCTCCTCGGCTGGGCCACCGAGAGCTCTGCACTAAGTGCCCAGTTTCTGCACGCGCGTTCTCTCGTGTGCTGTGCTCAAAGGTCTCATTTATGGCAGTGCTTGATCACCACGTCCTGCTCCTGAGGTCTGGATCAGGCCGGCCCATGGGTTTCTTCAAGCCAAAAATTTCTTCTGAAGGATAAGAGCGGATCCTCCGGGGCTGGTGGTTTCAGTTCAGTCTGTTTCTGAAAAAGAACAGAGGTGTCAGAGATGCCCCAGCTCGCCGCAGGGGCCTGCAACCCAGGTGGGGTGCTGGGTGGGGAGGAAGGGGTGCAGGAGTGCCTGGGGATGGGCAAAATTGGGAGCCTTCATGGAGTCAGTGGGAGAGAAAGGCCAGCCCCATTGAGAGGAGCCAGGAAACCCAAAATCCTCACGGGAGCAGGGCTGGGCTTTGGCCAGCGGCAGGGCTAAGGCGGGACACGGTCCGAAGTCGTGCATCCTCACTGAGCACCTCCTGCCTCTGTGCCACGAGGGATGACAGGACCGCCTCGCTCCAGGTGGCATAAAGCCACGCTCAGAGCGTGCTGGCAGGGGCACAGCCATCGCCCTGGCACGGGCACAAAAGATGGCCCACCACCCTTCCCCAAAGCCTCCAACGCCTCTCCAGCCCGCTCCTGCGGCTGCAGCCCAGCCAAGCGCGTGGGGCAGTGCAGATCCAGCCCCCTCGGCTGCGAGAAGGGCAGGGCTCTGTTCAAACCCATGCTCCATCTCCTCTGCACTACACAGGGGTGGGAAGCAGGGAGTTTTACTGGTGGGGTTTTTTTTTGTTTGTTTGGTTTGGTTTTTAAGGCCTGCAGCCCTAGCAGAGGTGTGTGGGAGGCTCCCGAGCAAGGCAGCGGGGCTGGAGAAGACCCCAGCTGCCCAGCACGCCAGCCAGGGGCTGCACAGCCCGCAGCGGGACAGGGCAAGCGCTCGGCCATCCCCATCTGGTGGGACCCCTGCCAGGGAGAAACGGCCCCCAGCTGCACTTCTGCAGAGCCCACGGGGGGCTTGGAGACCTCCTCTGCTCTCCTCTCCCTCACGCACGCATGCACACACGCACCCGCCTTTCAGACGCGAGTGCTGGAGGAGGGGTGAACACCAGCCCTCCACGTCCTTGCAGCCTCCGTTTTCACCACCCGAGCCGTGCCCTGCGCCAGACAAGGGTGCTCACGTCTGGAGAGCGGGCGGCAGGAGAGGGAAGCGAAGAGGCTCTGCAGGAGTTACGTCTGCTGGTGGCATGGAAAGGGCTGGTGGCATGGAAAGGGCTGGTGGCACGGAAAGGGCTGGTGGCATGGGGCACAGCAGCCAGCCCCCTTCCTTCCCAATCTTCTTCCCATCCAATTCATAAATAAACCCAAGGGCCACCTTCCCCCGGGGCAGGTAAAGGGCCCAGACACTCCAGCTGGTTTCACCCAGGCTTAGAATAAAGCCAGGATTTGGCTTCAGAGTGGAGCTGGCACCCAGCCACCCAGGCAGGCAGGGCCGGGCAGGCAGCAGCACTCGCAGCACCTCGCCGGACCCTCCTCATCCTCCTTCCCTGCCCCACTCTTTCGCAGAGGGAGCTCCTCAACCGCTTCCTCAGCGAGATCCCAAACAGCAAGACCGGACACCAAACCCTTCCCTACAGCCCCGGTTCCCCAAACGGGAAGCGCCCAGCGCCCCGAGCTCGCCCAGCGCTGCCCGAGG